CAGTCTTTTACCGTTAAATTCACGGTCATTTTTTACAGTGTATGATAAATCAATGTGACCTGCAAAGCATTTCAGTAAGTTGCAGCTTAAGATCACAAGCCGTTGGGAATTTGTTTTTGCCACTTCACTTAAATGGGAATAATGCATCAGTGTCTTCACACTGATCCTGTTGGGATCCTCTCCGATCTTGAGGGCTTTCTTCATCTGTACGACAACAACAAATCACAGAAGTTAAAGAAAGACAAATGAATACTGTCAATTACAGCTACAGAAACGAATGAAATCACACACAGTTAAATGCTAATTTTGCAAATAAAGGTGTTTTCCTCTCACTATATTATCTGCAAGTAATACTTGCCCTTTATGGAGCTCCTGAGGTGATAGTAAATCACACCAACCACAGCTGCAGCCATCATCAGAACAACAGCAACATATATTCCTGCTTTAACAGCTGAGGACAGACCTGAATCTGGAACAGAAGAGACGGTCATTAGTGTAAGTGAATATGTCATATCTATAACAAACAGTATAAGATATCAACAGGTTTGAGGGAGTCCGTTTAAAGCAGAACACCATTTCATACAGTGATGTTCAAAGCACCAATGCTTTGGTACCAATCAAGGTACTACAATAAATAGATGTAATGATATTTATCTTCACATTCCCCTGTAAGAGACGCTTTTCATCCATATAGCCATAATTATACTCACCAGTCACAGAAACACTGAAGCTCATAATGCTGGTGACACTGTAGTGGTTTCTGCTGGATTTGATCTGTAGTTTATAAAGTCCAGAGTCTGTGGTTCTGGTGTTTGTGATGGTCAGAGATCCAGTTTGATGATCCAGCTTCAGTCTGTCTTTGAATCTCTCAGTACACTGAACATCTTCACAGATTTGAGTCTGATCTCCAGTGATTTCAGCGATGCGAGTGTCATTAAAATACCACTTGATCACATCATTTGGGTTTTTTACTCCAGGAGTGTCTAAAGTGACAGATTCTCCCTCCATCAGCGACTTTCTCTTCATATCAGCAGGGACATCTGAAACACAAACCAACAGCTGTTAGAGGACCATTTTGAAGAAGAAACTCTATAACAGGAACAAACCATGAAACCTTATTTAGCATATTCATTCCTGGATTTTGAGAAAATGATTAGAAGCAACATTAACGGCAAAAATGAAAAATACAAAATGAATTATGCTTAAAAGATCTGTGTCTATCCATATTTCTACAGACTTAGAAATGTAAACTCTGCTGGATTAAAGATGTATAGAGCTATGCGATATGGCAAAAGAAATTATCACCATAAAATGTTTCCTATCAGTCGATATTGATAATTATCACGATAAATTTCAAATCTTTTATTTCTTTTTTTATTATTTATTAAATCTTTAGTTTAAAGGCAGATTTTTGTTCCTAAGTGGAAGTAGTACAAACCACAAAGTTAATTGTGCTTTTAAACTACTCTGTATGGTCAGAACATGACAAAAACTTCACGCTTTTGAATTCTTTACACTTTTCCAGTCTTTTTTTCTTTAACAAAATAACTATGTTAATAGAAATATTAATTTCTTAGTTTCTGTATATGAGCGATATTGCTCTAAATCATGAAGCAGGTTTGTATTGCCTGACTTTGATGACACGTATCTTCAGCACAGTTTACAGTACTGGCTGCAATATTAATAATATTTAGTGCTGTCAATCGATTAAAAAAAACAAACTAATTAATCACACTTTTTTTCTTAAAGATTTTTGTTCCTAAGTGAAAGTAGTACAAACCACAAAGTTAATTGTGCTTTTAAACTACTCTGTATGGTCAGAACATGACAAAAAACTTCACGCTTTTGAATTCTTTACACTTTTCCAGTCTTTTTTTCTTTAACAAAATAACTATGTTAATAGAAATATTAATTTCTTAGTTTCTGTATATGAGCGATATTGCTCTAAATCATGAAGCAGGTTTGTATTGCCTGACTTTGATGACACGTATCTTCAGCACAGTTTACAGTACTGGCTGCAATATTAATAATATTTAGTGCTGTCAATCGATTAAAAAAAACAAACTAATTAATCACACTTTTTTTCTTAAATTAATTGTGATTAATCCCACCTAGCATTAAAGTTTTTAAATATAGGCTACTTATTGCAATAATTTCACATTCAATCTTCAAATTAATGTAAAAACAACATAAATTCCGTATAGTATATATAGTATAAAATTCAGTATATTTTATATATAAACGGCTGTGCTGCCGTTTGAACTTTGAGCCGAGCGATAAAAACAATCCTTGAGCCGCAGTTCAAATGAGCCACACTGTTTTGTTCCGCTTTTGGTGCATAAACATTATATCGAACATTTATCAAACTCTTGTCATAGGTTTACAGAAGAAAATCTAATTATATCACTATAATTATCGTGTCATGTAGGCCTATACGTGCATTACATGCATAATGTAGCCTACAATTAGTATAGGCTACACGATAAATAAATTGCAATGTTACTGGAGAATAGAAATGACTGCATTATAATTGCACAATGCACTTTTTGAATAATCTTGTGAACATAATATGAGACAATATGACATTGACATTATTTTAGGTTTCTTTACCGTGAGTCTGTAAAGCGACATTTTAGGGATGCACCGAATGTTCGGCAACTGAAATCAGCCGAAAATAGCAAAAGACAAGCTCTTTCGGTGTTCGGCCGAATAAGCGAAAAGAGCGAATAAATTGTAGCGAACAATCCAAGTAGGTATAACTGCAAACCGGAGATCTCCAAAATGGGGCGTGAACTCCAAAAGTGGGCAGAACCTCCAAAATGGGGCGGGGTCTCCTCGCTCAAAGACTTTCACCATTGGCTCTGGCTTCAGCCAATTGTTATTGACTTACATTTCAAAATAAAACTTTATAAATTAAACATTGTTTCTAACTGATCTAAAATAAAATATGCTATATAAATAAATATTCTCTGTGAGAGCAGAGCCCAAAGCTCGTGGCCAGTGGTGTTCGGACTGGAGTTTGAACCTCTGCTTCATGATGTAAACGGGAATCACCCACGAGCTCTCCCGCGAGCCATCCCAGCGCAGCGCAGGGGAAAGATTGTACTCTATCGCTTTGTTATAAGCAACGGGGGCGTCCCGGGGCTTGAAATTCGCAGGGTAAGAGGGGGTAGTGACGCTGGGTGTAACTAAAAGGTGCCATTGTCCGGTGAGGTCTGGTTGGGGAGTTACGGAACGAGGGCCGGATTATTGAATTGAAAATATGAAGGGGGCCAAGGGGGAGGGGCCAGTCCTGATCTCTTTCTGGGGGCCTATAAAATTAGAAATTAAATTTAAATGTATATTCAGCAGTAAAATCAACTAATATTACCAACACCAAAATCTATAAAAACATTAGCATTGTCTGTAAGTCGATAAAAAAAAAAAACTAATTAATCGCACATTTTTCGGTAATTAATCATGATTAATTGTATAAATATATTGTCATAATTTCACACTGAATCTCCAATGAATGTAGAAACAACCTAAAGGTGGTATATTTTAAATATGTTTAATGGCTTCTCTTTACAAAGTAGCCTATTATTAACAAAGACCAGTATTTCTGATACCAGTACTGCTACTGACGTCTCTATTAAATGCATTTTCACCTCAATTTTAGCCATTAATTATAGCCATTCAACATTACAGTATAATTGAAAGACATTATTTGTAACATTTAGTAGGCTCTGAAAAAATATATAACTTTAATTGAAGTGAACTTAAAACAATCTTCATATAAACTATAAATTGTATTTTATAGTTTTGGCATAATTGTGTTTTTTCGGTCGAAGAGCTGCTGGCGCGCTGTCTGAAGCGGCTCAGCGCATGCGCAGCGCAGACTTGGCAACACTGTTGTTCCATCTCTTCCTTTACTTTTTCGGCTGTGAAACAACAGTCTTGGCCAGTGATGCCACCTTGTGAACTAATTAGTGCAAAAACAAGGCATATGTGCGACCTGCGCGTACTCTTCCCTCGGGCCGGATGAAGATGACTGGAGGGCCGGATTGGGCCCGTGGGCCGCCAATTGAATAGCCCTGGTTTAGGGGTTAGCATTTTTTGTAGCATAGTGTAGGAAATCAACACTTTAGTTGACACAACCAATAAAAACTTTAGAATCAGCTGTGGGGCGGAGTTTGCACTGAAGTGGATTGTTGGGAAAAATTGCGCGTGCGTGTCATGTGCCTGTCTGTCAACGGGAGGAAGCCACGCCCTATTTTGGAGCTCCCACCCCGTTTTGGAGTTCCCGCCCCCATTTGGAGATCTCCAGGCTGCAGTTATACCCTTCTCGAACAATGACGTGACGCGATCAAATAGTTGCGCACTAATGCAGCAAACATGTCATCAGTGTGGAAGCATTTAAAACTGTCCGAGAAAGATCATTACAAGCAATGAGAGCGAGAGACTGTTTAGTACTGCAACGCATGTCTTCGATGAGAAGAGGTTACAGTATAATGACTGAAATCGCGAGATGGCCTTAAGCAATTAAATAAACTACATAATGCGTGTTTTCTGATATACGCACAAATTGCATGTATTCTGACAGCACAGCACTATCTGCTCGTTAGCCAGGGTTCAAAGTCCAAAGCGCGAGGAAAATCTGCGCTGAAACAGTTACTAGTCAGTTAACATTTTTATCAATTTTTACAAGGCATGTGGCAATGCGATGCATGCGACAAACATCTTCTCAAAATCGTAATGAGAATAATTTATAAATCTGCTTTTGGCAACAAAAAGAAGCACTGAGGACTTCCTGCGGGTTTCCATCTAAATAAAAGCTGAGATAAAGCAAGAACTCCATCAACATTCATAAATGCTATTATTGTAATTTTACTGTTGTTCTGTAAAATAAGACAATAATGATAATAATTACAACAGCTCTATTAATACATTTATTATGACATTCACACATAGTGTTCAAACTGGGATCTGAATATTTCTAATGTTTTAAAAGAAGTCTCTTCTGCTCAGCAAGGCTGCATTTATTTGTACAGTAAAAAATACATGCCTGATTCAAGAAGGGGTCTCAAATGGCCAAAAAATATTATTTTACTAACTTATTAATTTTAAGTTAAATTGTGCTTTGTTGATATAATGTCTAGAATGTTAAACAATGTTCAGTGTTAAGTAAATATTTTTTATTTGTTGTTTTGTAATTGATTTTTTCTTTGAAAAGCAAGACAAAACAGTAAAAAGCCCATTTTGGCTATTTAATTTAAACAATGATGAAAAAATTGGCAAAATAAATGGGGTTAAAAAACATGAAAAACCGAGTTCGGTATTCGGCCTTCGGCCCAGTGTTTCATTTTGTTCAGCTTCGGCCAAGAACTTTCATTTCGGTGCATCCCTACAACATTTATCAACATTCTGTGCTTATAAACACAATTTATGTGCTTATTGTACAACAAATCCTCTGCATTTTGGAATCCAGTGAACTAAAAATGAGCAATTCAAATTGTATAGACAGAAATGTGATGTTGAGAACTTGACCAGAATAAAACTAAATCGAAAACTAATGGCTCACCAGTGGACACAAATTAGTTTAAAATCATTGTTCTGGTACTTTGAATGCCTGAAAGCAACTCTGAATGTCACTATTATAATAAACATGTTAATTATGTGATTTGAATACATATAACCTACTTTTAAACATCCATTAATGACTCACCATGAACAACAACTTTGAAAGTGTTTCCAATGTGGCTGCTGCTGAAGGTCTGTAGTCGATAAACTCCATCATCTGAAGTGTTGATGTTTGTGATCGTGAGATCACCAGATTGATGATCCAGCTTCAGTCTGTCTCTGAATCTCTCATCTTCTTTATTACACTTAACATCTGTGCAGATATAACGTTGATCTCCATTGATTTGAGCGATGAGATCATCAATAAAATACCATTTAAATCTTTCTCGTTGGTTTATTGTAATATTAGTGTGAAGAGTGACTGAATCTCCCTTCATCGCAAACACAGACACTGTGTCTGTGCCCACATCAGATGCACCTGGAGAAGAAATAAACAGCTAATTATAAATATCTTTATAAATAGAAAGACAAATGTGACCCTGGAGCACAAAAGCAGTCTTAAGTCTCTGGGGTATATTTGTAGCAAGAGCCAAAAATACATTGTATGGGTCAAAATTATTGATTTTTCTTTTATGCCAAAAATCATGAAGATATTTTGTAAATTTCCTACCGTAAATATATAAAAACTTAATTTTTGATTAGTAATATGCATTGCTAAGAACTTCATTTGGACAACTTTAAAGGCGATTTTCTCCCCAGTTTTTTTTGCACCCTCAGATTCCAGATTTTCAATTAGTTGTATCCAAACCATACATCAATGGAAAGATTATTTATTCAGCTTTCAGAAGATGTATAAATCTCAGTTGAAATAAATTGACCCTTATGACTGGTTTTGTGGTCAAAGGTCACAAATGTTTTTTTTTTCTTCTACAGATCATAGACAAATATTTCTGAATTCATAATGTAACACATGCAAACAAAAAGCAGAAGAACATAATTTTATTTACACATTCACTCACCAGTCAAACATACATGAGTATATCTATAAAATTTATTACACATACTTCCTGATTTGTATAGCCTGTTCCATATACATTTCACAGACCCTTAGATACCAATACTATCCCTTCAAAGAGATGCAAAAATACCTTATTGTAATTTCCCACAAAATTACGACTTGAATAATGCCATTTCATGTTTTTATTCAAAATATTGCTTTCATATACCAATTCGGTTTTGCACGTATTTGTATAAGGAGCGTGTTCCATTAAGTGTGCGAGACGTGATTTTTAAATGGTATTTATTTAGAGTTATATTATGTCACACTTCTCTAGTAAGTTTGGTCTGTGTGTGAAGACGCTGAAGGCAGTGGCGTAACGCAAATATGTGAATGAATATTTCAAAGTGAAGTAAACTTTTTTTTTTTTTTTTTACACTTTTTTCCCCCCGTGCTCAGGGAGTAGGGTAGGGAACAATGAACACGGTGTAGGGATCATGTAAATCGGACCACAGTTCATTCATAGAGCTCTCTTCTAACGAGCTGATGATCTGAATCAGGTGTGTTAAACAAGAGAGAAAAAGAGCGAGGAGTCGCGGGACTGGATTTCAGAAGATCATGGATTTCGGCAAAACACCGGTTCTCCATCAGATAATAAATACGTCTAAAACTATTTATTTATTGTTTTTACATCGTTGACAGAAAGACGAACTGTAACAAGTAACTGTCTTACCGTGCAGAAGTAATGCAAACACTGCAAATAAAGCAACGGTGAACTTAGTTTTCAGCATGTATTCTCCAAGCGAAGCCGCCATTGATCCTTTTCACAGTTCCGCGATCTCAGGAAGTGGAAGTCGTCATTTCTTAGAACTTGCCAGAACTTTTGTTTTTCTCTCAAGTTCTTTCACACAAACAGTAGCCTATATACAGAAACTCAACAGTAACTATATAAAAGGCAGTGTTGGGGAAAGTTACTTTTAAAAGTAATGCATTACAATATTGCGTTACTCCATAAAAAAGTAACTAATTACGGTACTTAGTTACTTTTTATTAAAAAAGTAATGCGTTACTTTACTTTTGCGTTACTTTTTAAATCTGGACAGGGCTTGCTTGTTTGTTTTTAAAATAAAAAAGTTATATTTTTGGCAAATATAAAAGCCTCTTCACACCAAAAGTGAAATGAATAAGCCTCAGGCTGAAGGGAATGTAAATTTACGTCCGTACAGAAGAATGCAGAAGAAGACATTTCAACACACTTCAGCAATAAAAAAAGACAGATTTTTGCTTATTAGTATGGTTGAACTGGATCATCGAAGGTCAGAAGCGAAGACATTGGTTTTAATTATTATTATATTATATTATTATATAATTATTAATTAACATTTAATTATTGCAGGTTTGCGTCATATTCTGAGTTGCATTATTTTTATTCATTTTGAGGAATACTGAATCTGTGTTTTTTTTTAATCTGATTACGTAACTCGCGTTACTTGTAATGCGTTACCCCCAACACTGATAAAAGGTTGCGAAAATGCCAATGCATAAAATTAAATAAAAAAATAAAAAAAAGATAATGAGGGATTTCGATAACAAATCTATTTTTGCTTTATTATTTGTAAATAGTTTCACCGTCTCATAATAACATTGTAATTCTGTCGGAAATAATTTAAAATTTACCATAAAAACAAGACCGGCATGTTTGTCATTTTGTTGAAAATAGAATACTATTGCCATCGAAGTTGACAGTGTCCTTCATATCGTCGTGGAAGGAGGCGGTTATACTGAGCAACTGTGGGGGGCAGCCGATCTTCTTCAGCAGCTGGAATAGGCCTCTTCTACTTACAAGGTCAAACGCCTTGGTGAGGTCTATGAAGGCAGTGTAAAGTGGCATTTGTTGCTCTCTACATTTCTCCTGGAGCTGATGCACTGAGAAAATAATGTCCACAGTGGATCTCTCTGTCCTGAACCCACACTGGGACTCTGGATAAATGCGGCCGGCGAGGAACTGCAGGCAAGCAAGGACCACGCGTGCGAAGACTTTACCCATGGTGCTCAGAAGAGAGATGCCGCGGTAATTATTACAGTCGCTTCGGTCACCCTTGTTCTTATACAGCGTGACGATCTTGGCAGAGATCTCTTGTGAGCGTCGTCAATTTCTTGAAGATCTTCGGTCAGTCCGGGCCGCATGGTCCGTACGTTCCAGCTTCCGATCCGGAGGGCTGGTGACTTGGTTTTCTTCTTTTGTTGCTTGCCTGGTGCTTGGTTGACGATCTGCTTGTTGAGTTATAGGACTCTAAGCTCCAGGCACCCTCTGAAGCAGGCAGACTGTGGCGGGTCAGCACCTTACTGGCTGGGGGCTGCCCAGCTTGAGGCAGGCGATAGCTGACCAGTGGGACTGCGATGGTCCCTCCCACCATCGAGGACAACCTGTAGCGTCTGACTCTATGCCAACTGAGCATGGACTTATAACTCATAAACTGCTGTCCTCCGTGTTGTGCCCTCACCAAACGGCGAGACCGGAGTGTCCTCTCCAGGGCGCAAGCCTGGGCAAGGTACATGGAGACATAGCGCTGCTCATTCAACAGGGTCCCCCTCTCGGCCGCACCGACTTGATCCAAAGGAACGCAAAGCATTACATTTGGAGCCAGTTTGGCTGCAGGAGCTGCCAGAAATGTGTCGATGCCGACGATTCAACCGCCTTAGGGGCTCCACTCCGGATTTTTCCTCAGGGTTTACTCCCGAAGCCTTACACGTGACCGGGTATCCGCAAGGCAGCGGAGGTTTGGAATCAGGGTTTTCCTTCCCCTAGATGGGCTGCCTTCCCAGGCTAACGAGTTCCATCTGCTCTTGTTTAGCCTGTATATGCTCCCACTAAGTCAAATAATGAAATTTTGTCATTTCTTTTATGTAAAGCACTTTGAACTACCATTGTGTATGAAATGTGCTATATAAATAAACTTGCCTTGCCTTACCCGAAGCAACTGGTTTAGAGGCGCCAGGGACCCGCCTTCGCCCCTTCTCCTGTCAGTGGTAGCAGTTCCGCCGGGCTTAGAGACTAAGCCACACAAGCAGGCCAGGAGCTGGACTTTGTTGTCAGAGGCTGTTTGAGACGCTTGCCATATGGGAGCATTTTATAGACAGTGGGCGCTTATCTCCACTGCCACCCCCAGCTATGACAACCTTGGAACCATTAAAGAAATTAAAGTATTACTGAGATTAGTGGGAAAATGCCTCAAGGTAAAAAAAAAAATGCCCTTGGATAAAATATAAAAAACACACAGATTTATATGTTATAGCTGATAGAAAACAGATGAGAATATTGCTTCAGAATAAATCATATTTGCAAAAATCAAAACACACACACACACACACACACACACACATGACAATGTATAATTATTAAAGATTAATTGTTCAGGCTGAAGATAGCCTGCGGGAAAAAACTGTTCTTGTGCCTGGCTGTTCTGGTGGTCAGAAAGCGGAGAAAGTTCCGAGATGTCTCGTGAAAGCTCGAAAGGGAATCAACTTTACCCAGGTTGAGTCAACTGAGCAACAGGAGCAGCTTGTACCAAAGAAAAATGCAGTGTCTGTCATTTGGACACATTTTTCTTGCTATCTGTAAGTGCACATCAGCTTGACAAACACAATGCTATAGCAGTGTTCATAAGCGCTGCGCTGCTTCGTTTACAGAGGTAACAAAAGGAAACACTGTATAACTGCTTTTCCATAAGCGCCACCTGCTGGCATAGAGTGAATTTGCGCTCTCATTCAGCCTGCCTGCAGTTTTTGTCTCGTTCAGATGTTTTATGTAGCATAATTTCACAAAGTTAAAGTCAGATCATTCTGTTTTTGCTTCCAATTTCGAAATGATACAATCAATTTAGATTAAAAACTGCTCATGCAGCATGTATGCAGCATCTTTGTTTGG